TGTCAAAACCAATATGTTTTCATGAAATGTTTAAGTTTTGATGCCTGACCAGCTCTAGCTCTGGCTTACAGATCCTTGCTGATTCATTGCTAATCGTATCTTTTCATTTCTCACCATGCACCTTACTTTTCTTTCTCTGTTTTATTCACATCATCTTGGTTCTTCTTCTTGCCTCTCCTGTCATTGGCATGGCTTTGACTTCCTTTTCCAGTGGTCTCACATTGGAGTAGTTTTACCATGCCCTCCTAGTTACTATCCATACAGCACCAGTAGATTTGGTTTAGTGTCATATTACTGACTAGTTAAATACTGTACTTTGCTGTGTTAAATCCTGTGCCTTGCCTTTTGTATCAGTTAGTGTGTGCTTAACATTGCAGGGTCTTCCTTAGACAAAAATCTGCAGTCAGTGGAATCAGCTGCTACTGCTTCAGCTGTAGGTCCTTGAGGAGGATCAATCAAACAAACTGATGACAATATAAATACAGAATCTTGTAGAGGGATCTGTAATTCCATATTTTATTTTTTCTGATCTTAGTTTTTTATATATATATATATATATAAAAATAAAATCACAGTAGTAGAGTATTACAGAACATGTTGTACATAGAAGTTCCACAAGTTAGCCAAACTTAAGGAAATGCCTAAGAGGTTTCTGTCTTTGTTCAAATACTTTCATGAATTTTTGAAGATGGTGGTCTGCACCAGATCACTGTTTGTATGATCAGTCCCATTCGCTCATTCCAATCTTGCACTCTTCAAGACATTTATAGGTCAATGTAATAAAGAAAGAAAATTTAATAATATATGTGTTTTTATCCAGATGAGTGACTCGCTTTGTGTTTCTATTTCTCATGTGAACTGCTCTTTGACTTTAATGTGCAGTTACATTACTTGGCACTGAATTTAATATATAATGTAGCCTCTTCCCTTCAGTTTTTCTCCACCTCAGCTCAAAATAAATGCTTCATACTATATAAAATATAGTACAGTAAGTCATGTGCTGTTTCATTAAGAAGAAACTTAAAATTTAAAGATACTCTGTGTTATTTTTCATTTCCAGTTAAGCCAGTATTTACAGGAGAATGCTAGAAGAATCCATGCTGAAGTTTTGTTTTTTTTCCCATGTGTGTATTGAGCAGTAGATGAAATGAAAGCTGAGATTTAGTTGGTAGAAAAGCACATGTAAAAGCTTGGAAAAGTCAGTAATAAATGTTAAATAGCTGAAGCCAAAATGGCAGGATAAGAAAGTAACTTCATACATGATATTTTGAACTGACTGCAGTGGAGAGAGCAGAGAGATGGGGGTGCCAGAGTAATGGTTGCCCAACATTTATAAATTTGCCAAATTTGAACCACGGTGACAGAAATCTCCTTTGCCAGTGGCTTAAATAAGGGCTAGCTATTTTCTGTTCATGAGTACTTTGGATTCCAGCGAGGGCATCAGCTTCTATGCATCACATGACAATCATGACTGGGAAGGATGCTGGAGCTGGTAGCATTTTTGGCTCAAACTGGAGATCACTAACAAAGACAGATCCTTGACTCTAGAATTTGCTTCATCCTTTGTTTTAATAGAGCCCGGGTTTGACAAACTGTA